TCTTGAACCAAACTTTTTTTTGTCCAGAAGCCAAATAAAAAATGCACAAATTTACCAAACAATGCTACTCGTGCTACTAACAATATGAGCTAGGTGGTTTTGTAACACTTTTTAAACATCTATGCTGCCTGCTGGTGAGTCACGAGTGTAAATGATAATTCACTTAGGGAGCTACCATTTGATTTTTATGGGGAGGTGTGGCTAGGATTAAACATTTTGTCCTGCATTTTTATTTTTCACTCTATTCGGTCCTGCATTTTTTTTATTAGTTTATCCTGACTTTTTTATGCCCCCGCCGTAGTTTTACCCTTGTCCGTCTACATATGTACGTCTCAAAGTTGGTTTCCATTCTCTAACTTAAGTTTGCCTCAACCAAATGTTATGAAACTTATGCACAATGCTTATTACCACTAAATACAGATCAAGTTTGAATTTTACCGTTCTAGAGTTATGCCCCTTTACAAATGGAAAAATTTCTAAATTTTTCGTTTCCGTTCTCTAACTTAAGTTTGCCTCAACCAAATGTTGTGAAACTTATACACAATGCTTATTACCACAATATACAGATCAAGTTTGAATATTGGAGCGGTCACTTTTTACTGTTCTAGAATTATGCCCTTTACAAATTTTTTTTTCTAAATATCAAGTAATTTTCAAAATTGGAGTTATCTTCCTTTGTACATAATTATAGTTGAATCAACTACAATCAATGCTTTATACAGTGCAATGTTTAATTTTGACTTCCACTGATAAATTAAAGCAATTTTTACCCTTCATTCCTAAAAATATTTCAAAGTCTTCTTTGAAAATTGGAGTTATCTTTCTTTGTGCATAATGGTAGTTGAATCAACTACAACCAATGCTTTATACAATGCAATATTCAATTTTACTTCCTACTGATAAATTAAAGCAATCTTTACCATTCAGTGCTTACAAACTGTTTGATTGCCACTCTAGGGTATGCCCCTTTACAAATAAAAAAACTACTGCATTTTTCGTTTCCATTCTCTAACTTTAGTTTGCCTTGACCAAATGTTATGAAACTTATACACAATGCTTATTACTACATAATACAGATTAAGTATGAAATTTGGTGGTGACATTTTTACCATTCTTGAGTTATGTCCCTTTATAAACATAAAAGTTGCTGAATTTTTTGTTTCCGTTCTCTAACTTTAGTTTGTCTCAACCAAATGTTATAAAACTTATACACAACCGTTCTAGAATTGTGAGTGTTTACAAATAGAAAAAATTGCTGAATTTTTAGTTTCTGTTCTCTACTTAAGTTAGCTTGAACCAAATGTTATGAGACTTACACACAATACTTATTAGCACAAAACTCAGATCAAGTTCAAATTTGGGTAGCATCACTTTTACCGTTCTTCAGTTATGTCCCTTTATAACTATATGAAATGCAAGCGGGGCCATCATCTGTGTCCACATGTATTTACATAAATTGTCATCCTGCCTTTTTATTTACTGAAAACTCCTGTCCTGTCTTTTTTTGCAAATTTCATCCTAGCCCTCCCCCCAAAAATATCAAATGGTAGCTCCCTTATACATATATACAGGTAATCAGTGTTAGTAAGTATAAATTAATTTTTTGAATCCTATTGTCTGTCAATCCTGTTCATATCTAAAAGAATTTAAATCAGTTTGTAGGAGTTATGAGCATCTGTATTGGAATCTGCCGGATCTGCTATATTATCGTTACTTAAAATCATAATATATCTTCATAGAAACAATTTCCACATATAAACAAAATCTTTTACTAATGATACTGGAACGATCCTGAACAAATTTTCAGTTTTATGTGGACAAACCCAAGTAAGAAATGACCACCTCAAAGGAACATAAATAAAACCATACAAATATTACATGCATGCAGGTTCTCGGTCATCATCTTGCATACTAAAATCACATCATGCTGAAATGCACCTAATGTGGTCCTCTTATTTTCAGTTTTTGCTGCTATCCAAAATCATATTTTGGAACTTATTTTATCGGAATCATTTGGCAATCCTGCCAATCTTCCACTTCTTTATGTAAATCTCTCCAGCGTTGGAGCACACTCAACTAGCTGTGTTCCCTTATTGGATCATTTTTTAAAATGTTAATGTATTCATATGCATATAGAAGTTATTTCAAATTTAAAGTTAAAATGTTGAAAGGAAATCCTCCAATGAAACGTTGCACATGCACAATTTTTTTTTACAGGAATGTTAATATTATATACACAAGCACTCATAGTACGTTGGCCAGTATGTAGATTTGATATTAAATGTCTAGCTAAATAAAATCTATGAAAGGTCGGCACTGATTTAAAGTAGTGTCTCCTCCATGACAGTTGAACATTAAAACTCAATATTAAATAAGACACTGCTATTTTCAGTGTTTGGTATAGGTTGGCTGTCACTGTGCACAACAGTTCAACATAGAACCCTATGGGGAAAAACCAGAGAACTCTTTTTTTGTCAGAAAACACTGTCAAACCTCCAAACATACTATCCACACTGATCTGTGTCCACACTTGTTCATATTTGAAATATATATATATATATTGGCAATACAATAAAGTCATTATTACCTTAAACTGTACGGATTAAAATATTAGAATGATGTGAAAACACACATTAGACTCATCGAAGTATACACTTGTACTATAGTCATGATAGTATCATCAATCCATATTGAAATATAAATAACAGATGTCAATAACAGCAACCTAACGATATAACAAGACAAGAAAGGATTTAAAGAGGTCAACGAGCAGTGTTCGACAATCGATAACTGTCTATACATGTACCATATATCGAGTACTAAATCTGTTCGAGTAGTATCGACAATTTGAAAATTAATTCTGCTGATAGTGCATCTTTTAGTTTTGATTTATTACATTAAATTTTCCCATGTATAATAGAAAAACAAAGGATATAAGGTATCCATCCATGACACAAAATCAGTATATGCAAAGCAAAAAACACACACACAAAACAAAGGAACCGCAGTTTTACTGCTGTTTTTCATCTCAAAGTCACTCTGGTTTTGTGGATAGATTTTGCAACACGAACTTCACCAAATTATAATTTATTGGATTATTATAATTATAATGTGGTACATTGTTGTACTACATGTACTCCTTCGCTACTGGAAAAAAAATCTTTGTATATAACTTTTTGTACTGTGATACGTTACTTTAATTTACAAATAAGAGTATACTTATAAACTTTAGCATCATACACTATGTGTATGAAGTATCTTGCTATTTTGCACTTTACAGCTTGATTTACAAGATGATTGTTGTATCTCCATCACATCATGCCACATGAGGCATGGAATTTCTAATATATCATAACACATGAGGCATGTTTTCTTCTAAAACAATTGCACGATGAACAACGCAGTATACATGTACATATAATTTGTGAAAATTGTCCAACTAAAATATGGATATGTATCAGTTACAAAACGGGAGAATAGAGCTCCGCATTGACTATCTTAATCTCTTTTACTGAACATTGCATATGTTTTCTGATGAATAGTATAGATAATTGGATGCCGGATATCTCGGATTTTATGAAATTCTGAAGTATAATAAAGCAAAGGGGTTTAATAAACATGATAAAAACAAAATTAAAAAATAAGATCGAAAATCTTAGCGGTTTTAAATGGGTCCCAGTGATTCAAGATGATTTTTTTTAAACTTGCAGAATACATTTAAAATTTAATATAATATTACAATATGTATGCTAAACTTATATATTATAGTTATTTTAAAGTTTCCTTTGAGGTAATTATATGTACTTTTTTAATATATGCACTTGTACACAAACACAGACTTGCCATCAATTTTGTTTATGACAAACAGTTTAGTAAAGTCTCTATTAAAAGACATAGCACCAGAACGTGAGTCAAGTCCGATGTTTTTGTTCGGAACCTCTTCCGTGGTTGTTCAGTCCTGAGAGAGTCGATTGATATTTCCTGTCCTGTTGTATGTAAAGTACATATTTCCCTGTAGATCAGCAGAAATTCCTCTTATTCCCGCTCCATCCTTCGTATAAACGAGTTTTCCATCTGATTTCATACAATAAAGATTATAATCAGTTTTTGCTGTTATAAGCTGTGTGACTTCGTTGTACAAAATACGTCAGCAAATTTCTAGAATCGGGGAAAAGTATACTTTGCAAAATGGATCCATCAGTCTTCAGTATTTTGACACGAGAAAGTCCCCCTACGACAATTTGATCTTTTACAAAATCAACTTTCATATCCAGTGTAAAGTCTGAAGTGTTAACGAACTGTACTGATGTCTTCTCAGGTATTGTAACAACTGCTGTATTTGTTTCCGGTATCACAGCGACACCACCCTGTTTGCTAGAAAACTTTATTTCCGTCTCAAAATCTTTGCAATTTCTGTTGACAAAAAGTTTCGGATGATTGTATTGATAATTGCTCAGAAGTAACTTATTATCCCTAGTAACAGCCACACCGTAAAGTTCGTACTTTACCCCGGACATCTGAGTTATTTCGCTTACCTTTTCGAATCATACAATCTGTCTTGATTTATCTATAAAGCTTTGTGCTTGCTGTAATTTCTTTGGATTGTCATTCCACTGGATTTCACAGGGTCTGGTCGTAGTTTCTATCTTCCCAAATAGTTCCAGTGACATATTTTGACTTTCCTCTAATATTATGTTAACTTCTTGTATTATGGATAACTTCTTGTATTTTGGATATCATATCTCTAACTTTGTCCTCGACCCTTTGTAGAGTTCATGGCCTGTTGATGCAAGGTTATAAAAATTAGGGTCTATGACCCATTTTCATCCAAGAAGCAAATTTAATTCTCAATTTCCTTCAATGTTGCTGATAGCTTTGCTATTTCTTTCCTTTCTTCGTTGATAACAGCCTCGTGTTTCATCTGAAGAGACGTCAACTCGGTTATTAATTTGGGTCCTTCCACAGTGGTAATAACAAAACATGAGACAACAACACATTAATTCAAACAATCTTGAAAATTATATTTGGCAATGTTATTTTGTAGTTTTATGTGTCTACTTGATGATTCAATGTGTTAAAAGATAGTTTTTAGTCACCATATAATATTTTTTTCCGAATAATTATAGTCACCATGAGAGGTAACGCTTGTTACCTGGTGTCCAACAAATACATGATTAAACTATTTAATTTCTATTTTACATTCAATTCTCATTAAAATTCTTCAGATTATTATTTCACTTGCCTATATTATTGAAAGTTTTGGATGTTTTTTATCATTTAAGCAAATTTTCATGCAATCGGCAATGCCTACTGAGAAATTTCGAAATATCATCAATAAATTTCTTTTTATCCGTTTAAACATTGATTTAACTTGGTTTTAAATTGCATATGTTGGAAAAAATATATTCGATTTATTATAATTCAACAGTTGAATTGTTAGTAAACATATGCAAGTGAATAAAACATCTAATTTTCTGTAAAGTGTAACGTATGTTACAAGAGACACAAAGTTCGAAGGTTACATTTGGCGTCCAACCAATAAGTATACATTTTGACATCATACACCATTGGTGTCTTATTCTGCTTTGACGAAACTCTGAGGATTACACCATAAAGTAATAAAAGCATCTAATACATAACCAATATTAGCAAATACATGAAAACTAAAACTGAAAATAGTTTGGACACCATGTAACAATCGTTACCATTATCCATTTTTTTCAACAATGTTCAAATTGTTTTATACAAACAAAATGCACAGGAATTCAGGAACAATAAAAAATTAATATATGCATTAAATTCCATTTGACGAAGTTAACATCATGTTTAAGATTATCTTTATTTGAAAAGGCAATAGTTCAGCTTCTGTTTTTGATTGTCGAAGGATGTCATCAGTCACCGTCGAGATAAACCACCGGGTGTAAGATCTGTAAAATAGAAGAAGAAAGAAAAAAAATCAAACTAAGCATTATAAAAGAACGTTTTTAAATTACAAGTAGAAGGCAACATTGTCTGCAGCAGGTCACATTTCTTACTTCTATCAACAAAGTCATGGGGTGAACAGAGGAATTTAACCTATCTAGGAATATCGGAAACAATACACATATGACAAGAAAATTAAATGAACAATCTCCTAAAATATAGTAGTTTGACCTGAAGATCAATAATCATTCTTAAAAAGAGTATATCAATATTTGATCGATAAAACATCATTGCAGTTCAGAGAATGACTGAATAAGGTACATGTAAAGAAAATACCTTTGAAACTGTAATAGGTGCGACGTCCTTTCCTTTGTATGGTTGGGGTGTCTAAAGTTTGAAGAATATCCTCGAAGATGATTATATGTTGCTTTTCACTCTCTATCCACCACTCATTTGATCTTTTCTGGTTGGAGTAAAATTTAACCCATGGCCAGTCAATAACCTGAAATAAAAATATGGTTGTCATCTCTTTAACGTATTCCTCATTTCCATTTTTATGCTTTTCACATATTCCCAATTTAACATTTCAAATATGGTTGAGCATATTGTACTTCTAATTGTGACACTTTTCTAATGACATTCGAAAGGAAGGACTGCACGCCCAAGAATAGTATATTTGTTTTTAAATTTAAATATTTCTTTAACAATTCTATTTCTATTTGCCGGTGTCCTAAAACACTGCAATGAATATCAAAGAGCCCTGCATTAACATTGATCATGCAAACATGCTTAAATATTGGCCTACAACGATAGCAAACATAATAAACGAAATTTAAAGCATGCTGTGGAAATGGTATAGACTCATGCAAGTTAGAAATCTATAGTCATTCAATAATAAACTAATTCTGCAATGTGCTATATCATTATTTAGTTCGTATTTTTGCATCCAACAAACTTACAACAGCTGGAAAACTTTTTGCACCATGAGCAACGAGTAAATATGTTCCTGTGAGCTGATAGCTGTGATGAATATGAATGATTAAATATAACAATGAAAATGACGTGAAATGAAATGAAATGAAGTAAAGTTAGTTAAAACCGATCTTTAAAATAATTCGAAATGATTTTGGTAGCTATGAATGAATATAATGTATTAAAGAATACAAATGAATGATTCTGTACAAACGTCAAAAATATATGCTAATAACCTATAGTATCAAGACTCACCTGATTGGTCCATTACAAGAAACTTTTTCTGTCTCATCTACATCTAAGTGCAATGCAACATCCGCTTTTTCCTTATCTTCAATCTGTTCTGAATCTCTTGTTGTCTGTGTTAAGGAACCATCTGCCATATGCTGATCGTCGTCCAGGGCTGAAACCTCATATGGTTGTTCGTCATCAGTTGTGGAATTATCAACCATCAGCTGGTCGTCACTCGGGGTTGAAACCTCCAAAGATTGTTCTGTCTCATTTGTGGAACCATCTACCTTAGTCTGGTCGTAGTTCAGGGCTGAAACCTCCGATGGCTGTTCTGTCTCATTTGTGGAACCATCTACCTTAGTCTGGTTGTAGTTCAGGGCTGAAACCTCCGAAGGTTGTTCTGTCTCATTTGTGGCACCATCTACCTTAGTCTGGTCGTAGTTCAGAGCTGAAACCTTCGATGGTTGTTCTGTCTCATTTGTTGAACTATTTACCTTAGTCTGGTCGTATTTTAGGGCTGAAACCTCTGAAGGTTGTTCTGTCTCATTTGTGGAACCATCTACCTTAGTCTGGTCGTAGTTCAGGGCTGAAACCTCCGAAGGTTGTTCTGTCTCATTTATGGAACCATCTACCTTAGTCTGGTCGAAGTTCAGGGCTGAAACCTTCGATGGTTGATCTGTCTCATTTGTTAAACCATTTACCTTAGTCTGGTCGTTTTTCAGGGCTGAAACCTCCGAAGGTTGTTCTGTCTTATTTGTGGAACCATCTACCTTATTCTGGTCGTAGTTCAGGGCTGAAACCTCCGATGGTTGTTCTGTCTCATTTGTGGCACCATCTACCTTAGTCTGGTCGTAGTTCAGAGCTGAAACCTTCGATGGTTGTTCTGTCTCATTTGTTGAACTATTTACCTTATTCTGGTCGTATTTTAGGGCTGAAACCTCTGAAGGTTGTTCTGTCTTATTTGTGGAACCATCTACCTTAGTCTGGTCGTATTTCAAAGCTGAAACCTCCGAAGGTTGTTCTGTCTCATTTATGGAATCATCTACCTTAGTCTGATCGTAGTTCAGGGTTGAAACCTCCGATAGTTGTTCTGCCCTAGTCGTGAAAACAACTACCTTTGGCTGATCACCACTTGTCTCTGATGAAACATTTGAAGGATGTGCTGTCTCAGTTTTGGTACCAGCGTCCAATGACTGATCATCATCCCATGGTCTATCGACATCAACAGTAAGTTTTTCACCTATACTTGTTTCAACTGCCAGTTCATCAGTTGTGTAGTGGTCATCGTCAAACGTAACACTAAAAAACAAATAAAACTTGTATGATAACACTTAAAGAAAGAGCCGACAACCGAATCGTAACAAATACATGGGCAATCAATTTATAAAATACAAACCCGGGAACAAAGTCAATCAACTCGTGATGACGACAGCAAAACTTGTGGGGTGATTACTAAAATCTCGGTGCATCAGAAAATAAGAATGAATATATGAGATTAAATCATGTTTTTGTAATCTGACATTAACCCTTTCTGTTAATATTTTCTGCTATGTGTTGACAATAAGATCTCATATATTTGTAATGAGAAAAATGTTTGTTTGTAGTATGTTGCTCTCTTGAAATAACATTAACCCTACATATACATTATCACAGTTTAATATTGAAGAAAACTTACCCAGTAACTGTCTGTAACAATGTGATCATAACGCTATCATCAATGGCAAAACCATCATTTTCATCATGATCATCTAAGAAGTCGATGTTACTTTGGTATGGTGGAATCAATGGAACGAAGTGGTTTGGAATCCAATTTTCCCTTGTCATATCAGTCCTTGTAGAACTCCACATCACGACAAATTTTGCCTGGTTATCCATTTGGACTATATTGGCTCTCGGCAATATTTCTCTATGTAGAGTTAATTTTGGTAAACAATATCCCATCTTTGGATATATGGAATCAATAACAGAGTTTAAACAGGATGAGAGTGCAAACAACTGCCATATTCCCATAAAATTTCCACTTTTCACGGCCTCCAAGGCTTCGGCTTGGTATACTCTATTAATAACTGCATTTGTTATTTTGTCACCAGCAGTATATTGTTCGGAAAACATTGTATATGATTTCCGAAGATTTTCAGCTTCTTTTTTTGGGAGGTCAATTCCTCTGTTCAGATACTCATTGGATGTGTACTTTTCCACATGAAGACACATTTCAATTACGATACGGGCTCTTATTTCCTGGTGGTCAGTTTCTGTACCAAAGCAGGCTACACTGGCAGATCTGGGTAAACAGTTTCCATCTCCGATTACTTGAACTGGCAACCAAGAAGTGAAATCAGGATGTAAAGCATCTTTTGGAATTAAGTCCAATGCTTGTCCGTCAGCAGTAAGGTTATAGGTGACCATATCAATGTTTTTGTCCACAAATAGTGTGTATCCTTTGAAGTTAGGAAGTTCATTTATTTCTATACATTTCGCCTGTAATTCATTGAATGATCTTGCTGATTGGAGATACAGTAAAACGACGCGGTAAAAGCCTCTACGGTCGCAAGGCAAATCTGCAGTATTGATGCTAGGTAATTCATGTATTTCTTCCGCTTTTCCGTTCATGTTAACATTCAAAGTTGTATCTATTGTTTTTTGGCAAATTGATTTGTCTCTGTTTTGGGCGACATCACGCTTCCCTCTTGGTCTGGATTTTTTATTTTGTTTTTTCCTTTTTATAGCTGGTTTTGCATTGTTTTGATTCCCATTGCTGATGACTTTACGACGGCTTTTATTCGACTGTGCTGATTTTGGCTTTGCTGTTTTTTTTTGCTTGTTTATACCTTCCCAGCTATCAACATGTTCCTTATTCATACATTCACCATTCTGTGTTACACATCCATCACAGAAACAGCTCAATAGCCGAGTTACAAGATTTCCATTTGCAACAGGTTTGATTGCATGTTTTTTTCTTGTATCAGGCACTGCTTTGACTTCAATCCTATCCTGTCTTTTTCGTATGACATCCGTTTTGTCGACGAGGAAAAAAGAACGTATCTTATGACAACAATCGTCTTCTTCACCCTTTTGTATTGATAATTCATCACTTGCATACTTGTAGAAATCCTCGGCATCACTGACTATACTTGATCGGGCTAAAATTGAGTTGGAGACTGATCGTTTAACTACGCCGAATTCACCATCACATGGCCCCTTGCCATGTCGTGTCCCAAAAAAGTGTTTCTCGACAGGGAAGCCGTAGTCCTCATTGCTCTTGCTGACGTCTGCAAATGGAGTTTTTGATTTAAATTGGCCTGGCGCTCCGTCTGAAAAATGAATTTCTCTGTTTATTCCTATGCCTTTATCTTTCAAGTAGGTGTTTGCTAAACCAACAAAGTGGTGGACAGCGTGGCTGTCATGTTTCTTGTCTTCTGTGATAAACATCATACTTTCGTTCATCGGATTTTGGCAAGATGGACAGTAGTAATACGCTACAATTGAGAAGAGCGTCACCGTGTTATGGCTCCAGTGGGCACTCTGTGCTTCATCCTGGTAGAGGCAAGTGTAGTTTTCGGCAAAGTCCATGCAGAAAATTACCCATTTGTCCGGAATATTTCTGATAACTTTGGAAAACTGCTCATGTTGCCACGCAGCGTTGTGAATATGCCCACTAAAAGGTTCAATTTCTGACATCAACTCTCTGATGAATACATCCACGTGATCTTTTCTCAATTTTAACATTTTGCGGGTTTTCTTCTTATCTTTATCTGTAAAAGTTTGATTTTCCCATTTATGCCATTCTAGAGATTTGCATTTATTTTTCAAGAGCTTTGCAAGTGATGTCTTGAGCGGACCTGTCCCACATTGTTCACACTCTCTTTCAATGCATTTTTTCTGGCAAAACTGCATCCCATCTAACTTGGGGCATAGAGTTTGTCTTGAAATGTCATATCGATCTTTAACAACAGTCCTGTTTCCCAATACCTTACTGATTGCCTTAATCTTCAACTCAATATTAGTACAGTATTCGCAAAGGCAGTTGTTGAATGTATTTTTGTTCATAGTCTTAACGTTGGATGGCCGCAACGAAGAAAATTTGCTGAAGCTAATGTTACATTCCTGATTTTGCTCTCTGAACTGCTTGTATGTATCTTGTAGACTTTTATCAAGAATTATTTTGGGTTCCAAAGTCTTCTTTGATACATGCTTTTTGTCAGGAAGATAGGTAGAGTTGGCCGGTCGTTTGAAAAAATCCTCGACGGCTTTAATTGTGTTCTGGTCTAAAGCGTCACTCCTTTTTTTGTTGTCCCAAACACCTTCTAATGTAGAACATTTGTGAGCAAAAGTCCAAGACATGCAGTATTGTTTTCTTAAACTTGAATGCCTAGACCACAGTATACTGGACGCAAGAACACGCCTCCTACGTAAGGCAATCTTAGATCTTCTATACTTCTTATTTTTGACTTCAGCTATAATTTTTCCTACGGTTTCATCATACATTTTCAACCGTCGTCTTTTGGAAGGAGTCATTACAGTACCATTTTTGTCCAGCGCAGCTCTTTTTCTTGGTGTTGCCATTGCTGCAATACCTGACAGAACGCTTGCAAATTTGTTTGGAGACGTTGGTAATGACTTTTTAGCGCGATAAATTGCTTTTCTCTCCGCTTCTTTTGTAATATATCCTGGGGAGACGCTTGATAGAGATTGCTGTTTCTCTGAGTCGTCCAGTATTTTGATTCCCTTTTTTTCCGCATACTTTTGTCGTCGTCTTTCATTAATCCTTCTCTTTTTTTGAGCAGTCATGTTTTGTCTTTGATCTTGCTTTTTCTTCCTCCAATACTCCCTTCGTCCCTTTACCTTTTGTCTGGTTTGTGGTGTTTTAGGTGTTGTATCATTCACATTGTCGTTGGATTTGTTCGGTTCATTTAGGGTTAACTGAGTCTTTTTTTTCTCCCTAAATCTTTTAACTCTAAGACGTGTTAGCTCTCTCTGTGTTGCTCTTTTTTCTTCTGTTAAATTCGCTCTATACGCTTTATTTCTCTCGGCCTCAGAAGCTAGGTATGCCTGATATGTATCTGGGCTTTCTTTCAAACGTTGCCTATATTCCACCATTTTTTGTTTGTTTGATTTTTGCTGGGTTGCTGATTGTTTTCCCTCATTATATGAAGCATTTGAGGGTTGTTTGTTTTCAGTTTTTCTTGTCCTTGATCTTAGCTTAATCTTAAGCATGTTCTGAAAATTAATGAATCTTTATAACTTAATGGTTACGATCGTTACTTGTTTTGTTTTTGTATGACAAAGGAAAGTAGACGGAATTTAAAATGTGAAAACGTATTTCTTACTTGAATGCAAACAAAAAATATTATTATTGATATCTAGTTTGGATAATCACAAATTATTTTTTTTGAATGAGTTTTATTAAAGACGATATGTATCGTGTCTACTTACAACGATCGACGGAATTGATAGGTGTCTCTGTGTAACGATTGTAAGAATTGTGTTAATAATTGCATTCCAAGCATAGCTAGACGAACAATTGCAAGTTGGCCGTCAAGGTTTTATGAATGATTGGTTGCGAAAATATTTTGAACTGAAAAAGTTATTAAGTGCGTGAGAAAAACAAATTCGACAACGATCGTTACATATATCTTAGTTGGAAACTTCCATTTTGTGTCCACTTGTAACGATCGACTAATCATACTGGTGTCCCTATGTAACGAACGAAAATGACATAGTGAAAAACATTTATCGGATATTTATAGCGGAATAGAATGCTACTTATTTTAATCAACATCCGTAAAAACTGATTTAGAAATGTGTGTGAAGCGGGAATTTACTTTAATACAAATTAGCGGCAGAATAAGTAATGATCGTTACATTTTTTGGTTGGAAACTGCTTCCTTGTTTCCTCATGTAACGATCGACTAATCATACTGGTGTCCCTATGTAACGAACGAAAAGGACATAATGAAAAACATGTGCATGATATTTCCAGAGGAAAAGAATGCTACATATTTTAATCAACATCCGTAAAAACTGATTTAGAAATATCGGTGAAGCGGGAAATTCCTTTAGTGCAAATAAGCGACAGAATAAGTAATGATCGTTACATTTTTTGGTTGGAAACTACTTCCTTGTTTCCACGTGTAACGAGCGAATAAATAATCGTGTCTCTCCAAGTTATCATTTAGAAAATATTATTGATATTGTCAATATTTGAGTCGATTCGCTTATGTAAACATTATTCTCTGTGAATTATACATAAAAATGATAAACAGGAAGTAAATATCATGCATGCAAACAAATAAAAGTATAAAAATAGACGTCGCTCGTTACCTGTTTCGATCGTTTCTTTTCTGGACACCAACACAAAATACATCAACCTTGCTCTGTAGTTGAAGAATATCATAGTTTTACAGGTTATCACGCGAGCTTGGGATGGGCTACACAGTTTCATATTTCCAGATTGGGAAACAATCTGAATCAATCATTGTACATGTCATCATAATGATCGTTACAATGTGGATACGAAAATACCAAAAAAGTTTAAACTTCTGTGGAGCGTTAAACAGTCTCTATAAACACACATTCTTCCTATGAAAGAATTATGATAAGAGTTTTATTCCTATTGATCATGATATCAGTATGTTGAAGTAACAACACTTTACGTAATAAATGATATATGTCAGCAGTGTGTTTGGACACGATTGTAACAAGCGAAACTGACTATAGAAAAATGTGAATAATTCTGTAAAAAATCGATATAAACATAAATTTTGGACTTAAAACACACGCAAAATATTTCTGAACACAATGGAAACATCTATGTCTTTGAATTTTACCATAAAACATAACTTATAAGACATTTTCTCTTCAGTACCTTTGTCATGTCCCATTTTTAGGTCACTATTTTCCTGGCAAAATTGATTGTTTTATTCAATAAATTTTTTTATCAATAACTAATAAGATTTTTTTTATATATTTTTATTTCTTCAATACATATATGTTATTCAAATGAAAAAAGTGATTTGAAAATTCCAACAAATAACCTCGTAATTTATAAAAGTTTAAGATTACCCTAAAGAGTCAGCACCTGTGTGGAATGACCCATTTACTTTCAAAATCGTCAATGTTATCATCGGGTATTTGCGCTTTAATTGCACTCAACTGTTGGAGTATACCTACCTTCTTCTTTGTCAGTGAGTTGATGTTTGCTTGTCTGTTATGGTTTAACTGATTTAACGTCTTAGCGATATGACTTATTTCTTGCCTAATGTCGGTCATTAATGTAGAGCTTTTTACATTTGTTGATGCAAGTTCTAACTGCATTACATTTTGACATGTTTTATGATCACTAGAAACGCATATTCCACAACATAAGACTTCCTGGTGTGTACAGTAACAATCTATGGGCATTTCCCGGTGATCATCGTAATTTTCGCTAAGGTAGAGGATGTCAATGGATTGATATCATGTGATCTGAAATCCTTAATACGGACGTGTGAATCTGCGCAGTCCTTACATAAATGCTCTTCGCAGTGGGTGCAATGTTGTAATGCAGTTGTTTGTTTACTTTCTGCATAGCATGAATCACACAGACTCATTGGTGTCATTTAAAGATATCTGAAAAATAAAAGTTAATTGCTTGTAATTGGGGTTAGAGACGTGATGGATTCATGACTCAGGTCTTTTTTCTTCTTGTTTATTTGCTTAAAAAATACCCCTCATGAAAAGGAAAATATAAAACGTATTTGTACAAGCTTGAGAGAGAGAGAGAGAGAGAGAGAGAGAGAGAGAGAGAGAGAGAGAGAGAGAGAGAGAGAGAGAGAGAGAGCAACAAACTTTAGAAACAGAGAGAGAAGCGAGACTTGACGAGCTTTAAAAACAGAGAGAGAAGCAAGGTTCAACGAACTTTAGAAACAGAAAGAAAAACCAAGCTAAATGAGCTTCAGAAACAGAGAGAGAAGCCAGGCTCGACGAATTTTTTTTCCTGTTTCGTAGCAATAATTGCAAATACTTTTTATATTTTTCTACAATGTACGAATATCATGAATATTATTTATATCCTACAATTTAATATTTACGCTAAAAAATATAGTTTTAGTTTACTTCCAAACCGTCGGATATGTTTTTTAATGAAATCAACATGACTTAAACGCAGACCACGATGAGGATCCCAAATTGAACTGTGAGATCAACTGTAATTTTAAAATACCAGGAGACTATAAACATATGATATATGTGTATCGCTTCATGTTATCTGTCAACCAGTATTTGTATAGAAGAAAGGTCTATTGCAGGGTAAATAATCATTATCTGGCCCTCAGTTTTCTCGCTTTAATTGTTTTAAATTTGTCACTTCGGGGTCTTTTATAGCTCACTATGCGGTATGGGTTTTTCTCATTGTTGAAGGTCGTTCAGTTACCTATTATAGTTGTAAACCTCAACGTCATTTGGTCTCTTGTGGAGAGAGAGTTGTCTCATTAGCAATCATACCATATCTTCCAGTATAATCTTATATGAACACAATATCAATGTTCAAAATTAACTTGTTCTTAAAAAATTATGTTAATCTAACTTTTACAGCATGCGACACTAACACAATTTCTGTGAAAATGGGAATGTCTATTTTTGTATGAAATGTAGATAGAATTGAGAATGGAGAATGGAAACGGGGAATGTGTCTAGAAGACAACAACCCGACCAGAAAACAGCACAAGGAAACCAATGGGTCTTTAACGCAGCCAGAAAATCCCGCACCCGGAGGCGGGTTTCAGCTCGCCCCTATTAATGATGAATACAAATTCTATACTATATTATATGGAGAGTCTTCATTAAAAAATGTGTGTGCCAGTATATTCAATACATGTAATTTCCTACTACACATAACAACGAAAGTGTAACGATATCATTATGAAATTGTTTTCGCTTATTTCTGATTAAAACCACGTGTTTACTAGCTAACAGTTACATTCGATGCAGTAAATATATCAGATATTGATTATTCATTGGAGACATAATATGCATCTTTAATCGTTAAATTTGGTTCTATCCTTACTGTTTGCCCGATTTTATGGTTAAAAGCTACACGAAACCTATGAGGCAAATTACATCCTGTACGTTTTAAAGTACCCACATTTGGTAAGCAGTAAAGTTTTGAACCGGATTAAAGGGTCGGAAATTTTGTCCTGCCACTGAAAAAAGAGTGTGATATTGATATGTAAAAATGTTGCTTCGCGATATATCATCTACTAATCCCTCAAAGGGTTAACTTAATAGAGTTATCTCACGTGCAGAGACCGCGGTACTTTGACAACACGGGGCGTACTGTTGGGTTTATCCCTTTCCCTGAGTTTTCATACATTCTGCACACCAAAACGGACACATAATCAACAGAGATCTTACTGCCAAACAAGACGGTAAATTGTTTAAACTGCTAGAAAACAAACCAGTTTTATGTTATTTGCAACATTCTTAACCCATATATAAAATATATAAATATGTGGTACAAATGTACAGTCATGTATGATTGTCAATGAGACAACTCTCCAACAGAGATCAAATGGCATAGAAGTTAATAAATAAAAATTATCGTACAGCCTTCAACAGTGAGCAAATTCCATACTGCACAGCTAACCATAAAAGGCCCCAAAATGACGAATGCAAAACAATTGGAATGAGAAAACTATCGACCCGATTTTTGCACAAAACATTAAAGTCACTTTTAGTGCCCATTAAAAATAGACAGGCGTTTCTCTGACATGCAGAACCTCATTCGGTTGGTCGTGTTGTACTTGAGAGGTGGTCATAACCAACTAAGTAAGACATCACGTGGCTTTGGTGACGCACAGCGAGCCGCCAATTTGAATAATTTTGTGCCATTTAAATAATGCTTCAATAAAGTTCAATTTTCTCATCAACTTGACCCGTTTTTTAACTTTTAAAATTAATCTTTGATATTCGAACATAATTCTATCTAAAAATGTTGGTTCTGACAATTTAATTTTTGATTAAATTACGTCCGTGGAGATTCGTTAAAATCTTACTTTTTCTCGATATTTCCCCGTTGATTCAATGTTAAAATCTAGCGACCCTATGTCTACTTGTACTTCAAATTCACAAATTCCGTTAATAAAAGTAATACTTTACAAATCGATTCACAATATTAAAACATATATCTGGCGAAATATTCTACTTAAAACAGTTTAATTTTAGAGCAAATTCCGTCCCACATCGATTTAAAAAAAGTAATTTTTTCGGGATTTTTCAAAATGGCGGATGTGTA